ATCTGAGTTCGGGAGATTTCTGCTGAGAAGGACTACACTGGTACTGGACTCCAGACGGTGTGTGTTATACCTTGGGAGAAAGTTTGTCAGCATTTTGCTGGTGTCCAGAGACTTTGCCTGAGACTAAGATGAGTGTCTTTGCTGGTGGACTAATTATGTTATGGCTTGTGTTTAGACATCCCCACAAAGCCTCATGTGGTCACAGGTGGGGCTTTTTTCAGAGGTGGCTGGATGTAAAGTGTGTGACACTGTAATTGATTCATGGTGCAACGCTAGGACCAAGGGCACTAGGATTAAGGGTGTGAGTGCTACCTGTCATACATCATCTGGATGAGGTAAGAGCCGTACAAAGATGCTATTAAGGTTCCTTGTTGGTTGTGTTACCTTCCACGTGCCCTAAACTGCTGCCCCTCTGCCATGTGCCACCGAGCCTTGTAGCCAGCTGAGTATGAACTGAAACTTCTACAAAGAGGAGGCAAACAAACCTTCCCTCCTTTAACTCTTGGTGTCAGGTATTTTGTCTCAGCAGAGAGAAAGTGCCCCCGCTGACAGTGCGCCCGCCCATTTCTGACTTTAGCACGTTCTGAGCAGTATTACAACAGTGAGAACAGTCACAGATCTGGGCAGCAGTTTAGGATTTGTCCTGCAGTAAGCTGGTAAAACCCAGACGGCATGTGAAAGAACCAGGTGATTCAGTGGGGAAAACTCTAGATGCAGAATGAGTTTATGCTTTAACTGTACTACAAACTTTCATTGACTGATAGCAACTACCTAGTTTAAATACTGTTGATGGTGGTTACATTTTGAAGAATTAACTGTTAGCATGCAATTAATTAAAGCTTCCAGTCTAATACTTTCCTCATCTTAATTTTTAATTCTACTGATAGGCCAATAGTTTGAAATATTCACTATTACCTAGGAAAGACTACAAAACTCTTTGGAAGCAGCCAGGATTTCATGGGTGATAAAACTGACTAAAGACAACTAGGAAGGTACTGTATAGTGTTTACTCTGGGCTAGAAGTCTATGTGTACTTCATGTTGCAGCATTAGTTCACAGAAAACAAAGGGTTAACAATAAGCTTTACTTTCTAATTTATTAATACCTCATGCTGTTAGAATAGCTGGTAATTTAATGAACATAATAGGTACATTGAGAATTTGCTCACCCAGGGAGCTAACCTGGAAAACAGAAATGAGCATGTATAAAGGGTGCTATATTGGCTAAAGGTTTGAGTGATTCTAAATGACCCAGGGTTTTACAAGTACTTACAGGTTGATCCAGCCACAAAGTCTGACTCACATATCCATACACTGCAAGGTATACCAATGCTGTTTCCCTCTTTTTAAAGTGGAAGAGGCTGGTTCTGTCGTTGCTGCTGTTTTGTTTTGGTTGCTGGGACTGAATGCAGGGCCTTGTACATGCTAGGTATGTACGCTACCACTGAGTTACATCCCCGGCCAAAGAGGCTGGGTTACAGTACCATTCTCACACTTAGAAGCTCTAAAACCAGGCACAAGTAATTTGTTCTTGGTGAGATTCATAGTCTTTACCTTTCAATACCAAAAGACAGTACTGTAAGCTTAAAATCCTATTATAAGTTGTAAACATCTTTATTACTAATAATAGTAACTTCATTCCTACTACTCAAGTCAACTGTGTTTCTGAAAGCTTCCTTCCCTAGCCAGTGTTTGCTGAAATTCAGTATAAGGATTTCCAAATAAAAGCACCTAACTAATGTAAATAGTCAGCCCAATCAATTAAATTAATTATATGTTATTGAAACATAAAAGCACAAAAAGTGTGCACAGCTGCCTTTATAGACTGAGAGACACTATTTTTCATCGACAAGACTATATCAAGAGGAGCCAGGAGCCTTGGCAGAGTGTGACCTATTAAAATGTGCAGAGTGCAGTATGGTGGGGCCTGCCTCTAATCCTAGCACTAGAGAGGCTGAGGCAGGAAGATGGAATCTCTGTCTCAATGGCTCCCCAACCCCTAAAACACTGTACAGAGAACACCAGTTTGCACATCTGCAAATGACGTGTATTTGCACATAACATGTATTTTTCCACAAACTGACAAAAGGCACTTATAAAATTCTGTCTTTCTACTTCTATAGCAATTCAATTAAAGCTGTGCCTGAATTTTAAAATGAAGAAGAAAAGGTACATACTCATCATGAACAATGGTGGGGCCATCCCGTGTTAAGGCCTCTTCCTTAATGACATTGATCAGTTCAAAGCTGCTGCTTATGGGGGCATCTGGGTTAGGCCATTTGGGACACTGGAAGTGCCGCACTTCTAGGACATAGTCATCCTATAACCAACACAACACCAGTCACAGTACATCTTTTATGTCACATGCCTACAGTCAGCTCAGTGGAACTTGCAACTTAGAAAGCACATATTACAGACAACTCTGGACAGTGCGAGGTTACCCAAACCACAGGTTAGAAGAAAAATACAAAGGAGGTCATAGAAAAATGAGTAGGTCATACCAGTGAAACAATATATTACTTTGTCATTTAAGTTATTAATATGAGAGATTCCTCCTTTACCCTTTCCACGAACGGCAGTTATTAAAGTATTGTGTATGAAAAAGTCCTTAATCATCTCTGCAACATATTGCAAGGTTTACATTTTGGATGGCAAAGAAAATACTGACGTGTAGTGTATTATTTTTATAATCAGATCAGCAGACGTATTTATACACATGTGGAATCAGAGGAACACATGTGGAATCTTGCCAGCTGAAAAAGCAAATATTTGAAGGAAGAAGAAAGGGAAATGTACATATTTAAAATGAAATCTTACTCAAACGCCTAGGCCCCTGAGAGTAGTAAATTAATCCACTAGTACTTAAAAGGATGATTCAGGGCCCCAGTATGGCTAGTAGGGAGGAAGTGAGATACAGCGTACCTGTGTTGCCTCAAGGATAAAGTCATGGATGATAATTTGTTCTTCATTAGAGAGGCACAGTCTGTCTTTGCTGATAAGGGTGACAGTAAAAGCCTCACAGTTCATGGATTCTTCTCGACTTGGCCAATAGACAAACTCATCTTCTGCCTTTGAGAACCAAAAAAAGTATTTCAATTTTCTTACAAAATGATTCTTTATTCTGCCATTTTCTCTATCTCTCAAGCCATCTTTTAATTAGTCGTCTGAACTGTACCCCCACCTAGTCATGCTGAGCTCAGTGGGTCGTGTTTCTTACTGCATAACTATGTTTTGATAATATCCCTTTCCTAGCACCTCTCACCTGTCACTGTATCAACCCCAGCATGGGCTCTGTAGGGAGGTATTACTGTTAGCTGATAATTGTTCTGGACAGTAAGTAGCATACTAGGAAAGGAGATTACCTCTAGGTCAATTGATTTTATTATTTCACAGTTGCTTAAGCAATCAAGACATGACTATGTGTTGTTCCCATGGAGTATATTAACGATTGTATGGTGGAGTGCCATTTTGCAGAAGACCTTCATAAACATTTTCTTTCTGAATTTTTAAAATACGTTAGTAAAATAATGTCTTTAAAATACATTTTATTGTATAGAAAGTATACAGAACAATGTTATACACACAGAGATAGTAAAAGCGTTCCTTATAGTCAAATAAATTAGCATATGCACTATTTTACATAGTTTTCTGGTGGGAAGAGCAAGTAATAATCTCATCTAACATAAATTCCAAATATTCCATAGCATAATTACCTGTACTCTTCATGTTATATATTACCTCTCTAGGGGTTTCCATTCTCCATGTCTGCTTCTTTGTATCCTTTCACTTATATCTTCCTATTTCTTTCTTCATCCCATAACTACTATTTTGTTTTCCCTACACATTTGAATCTATTGCTTTTTTTCTTGGTGAGATTGTGTATTAGTTGTCTTCTAGTATCTGGCTTATTTCTCTTAGTATGATGCTCTCCATGGTCATCCACACTGGCAAATACAAGATCCCATTCTTTCTTAGGACTGGATAATATACCCTTGTGTTTAATTACCATAGTGTCTTTGACCGTTTGTCCACTGGCAGACTGGTTGTTTCTCTATTTTGGCTACTGCAAATGATGCTGCAGTTAACATGGACATTTAGACAGTCAGATACCTTTACATGGTGGTGACTTTATTTTATTAGGCTACATGATAAATTTTTTTTTTCCCCATTAGTTTGGGTTGGACCCAGGGCCTTGTGTGTGCTAGGCAATCACTCTGCCAGTGAGCTGCATCTGAAGTCCTGATAGTCCTAGTTTTAATTTCATTAGAAACCTCCAGACTCTTTTCCATAATGGCTGTGCCACCCTACAGTCCCAGTGACAGTGTGAGAGTGCCCTTTTCTCCACACCTTCGCCACCCTTGTCATTTGATTTCTAGGTAACTCCCATCCTGATACAAAGCACTAAGCCACTGTGAGGTTGATTTGCAGTTCCCAGATGATGAATACTATTCAGCATCATTTTATATATTTTCTGGTCATTTTTATATATTATTTGCAGATATATCTGTTTGGGTCTCTTGCTCATTTCTTATCAGGGACATTCATTTTTTTACTACTGAGTTGTATCCTTTAAAATTTTCAATACCGGTCCCTAAATAAGGGATTTTTCACTATCTGCCTTCATAAATGAAGACATCCTCAGAAGTGTCCAAAGTTGTCTAAAATCACATTGGTAAAAGTAGCAAAGGACAGCCTTTTTGGAAAGAAGTTATGCATAAATAACATGTTAAGTACAAGGTGTTCATTAAAAGAAAATTTAACCTGTCAGTCTCAGATGTTAAGAGGGGATAACAAAAAGTCATCTTTCAATGAGGCAAGCTTTACATGTTCATTCATTTTAAGATAAGAAAGAGATACTCAGGATTGGTACTTGAATTGTATCCCTGGAAACTATGATGCCTAAGAAAAAAATTGTCACAGAGGTTGGAGACTGTGAGAAATATGATCATGTACACCCTTCCCCATTTTCTAATTAGAGCAAATGACAAATTAGAGCAAACTCTAGTTTGCTTGTAGGATGTAGACTTTTATAGGCATTCTCCTGAAAATGCCTAGCTACTGTCATTGACATCTGAAATAATTCTGAATAATGTGCAAATCAAAGAAAGGTTTGTTTAATCTTGCACCGTTGCATTAGAAATGAAGCAACAGTCCAATAAGACTTATCACCCTTTCATGTTTTAATAGAGCTTACTGCCAAGTACATTTTTATTTATAAAGCTCAGCGTAAGGGGAAACAGATTAACAACAGGTATAATGTGTACAAAAGTCTTAAATCTTTTCAGTTTTAATACATTTTATTCAAAGAAATGGAAGTATGGCCACATAAATATTCAAGATATAAAGTGACGATGGACAGAACATCTTAATTTAATCAATTATGTACAGATTATGCATAAGGTTAGGATTGGATGTGACTCTGAATAAATTTGTTAATCTTTCTGAGCCTTAATTTCCATATTTGAAAAGACTGAATAATAAAACTTGGTACTGCACAGAAACGTTAGGATGGTAACACTGAATAGGAAATTATCTAACTAGTTTAAAAGGTCCCAAACAGATTTCACGTATGGTGAAAGGAAAAGCAGAAAAGACTTTTGAATAAATAAACTGAACCTGACGATCATTGTTCTCACTGAAAGGCCAAGAACATTGAATGCTACTTCTTTGTTCAGCAGGCATTCAGGCCTCGCGGTCATTTTGCTGACAAATGTATCTGTAGATCAGAGGTGTCCAGGCACTGGTGAGAGTGCCTTCCAAGTTAGGGACCGCTGAGTTTGGGCCT